TTTAAAAAAATTAGAGACGAAATAATTTTTTTTAATAAATGTTGGTATTGGATAATTCAGAGGTAAGTAATGTTGAATATTATTTTTAAAAAAGATAACTAAATTAAATTTCTTACCCTTATTATAGATACTACCTTCTTCAAAACTTGATCGTTCAATGATGAAAAATTTGATATTAATTTATTTTTTTAAAAGAAAGATCACTAAATTAATTTTTTACTTTTTGTAGATACTGAATTCTTAAGTTTGAATTGTTCAGAGGTAAGTCTGAGAAAAAATCTAATGGTAATTTATTTTTAAAAAAAAATCACTAAATTAAAATTTCTTACCTTTTTGTAGATACCGCCTTCTTCAAGACTTGATCGTTCAGAGGTATGTCATATGATGAAAAATCTAATGTTAATTTATTTTTAACAAAAAATCACTAAATTAAAATTTCTTACCTTTTGTAAATACCGCCTTCTTCATGATTTGATCGTTCAGAGGTAAGTCTATGATGAAAATTTAATGTTAATTTTTTTTTAAAAAAAAATGATCACTAAATTAAAATTTCTTACCTTTTTGTAGATACTGTCTTCTTCAAGACTTAATCGTTCAGAGGTATGTCTATGATGAAAATATTAATGTTAATTTGTTTTTAAAAAAAAGATCACTAAATTAAAATTTCTTACCTTTTTGTAGATATCGTCTTCTTTAAGATTTGATCATTCAGAAGTAAGTCTATGATGAAAATAATTTATTTAATATTAATTTTTTTAAAAAAAAAAAGATCCATGATACTAATTTTTCTTACCTTTTTGTAGATACCTCCTTTGGATCATTCGGAAGTAAGTCTATGATGAAAAAAATTATTCAATGTTAAATGCTGATGTTAAATATTCTTTTAAAAAAGATCAATAAATTCATTTTCTTACCTTTTTATAAATATCAGATTCTTCTAGCATTGAATCGTTCGAAGGTAAGTTCTATGAAAGAAAAACTTTAATGAAGTAAATTACGTTAAAGCAATTTTTTATTTTTATTTCTAAGATTATATTACATTTATTATGTAAAAAATTCTATATCAATATGTAATTATAATAAATAAAATAAAAATATAGTATTGCATTATTAAATATTACATTGTCTCTTAATGCAAAACTTATAAAATATTACATTGTCTATTATACACACTTCTCTAAATGCACCGGTCCTAAGGAAGTAGATATTGATTAGTTTAGACAAATGACTATGTCATTTGTCATTTAATGTTGAAATGACCTAAATAACACATGACCAGTCATTTGAATCATTTGAGGTCATTTGGGTCACTGGTCACCATTGAACATAGTAGTATTACGCATGTAAATTCTGGATCTATAGAGTTATTTCTTGAATATTTTGAGACAACGTCACCAGAAAAATACTGATTTCTCAATTATTACTAGTATTATAAAAGCTGGGATGATTTCATAAGTAATTTTTGACAAGAAGCAAAAAGACTTCAAGTTGCCTTGGAACATCTGGTGAAAAATAAATCAGATTTAAAGAAACAAAAAGCTCAATATTTGCTTGATGTTTTTGAGACAAGTATTTTTTTTCATTTCATTTTGATCACTGGCAAACAGTATAGAGGGCCCTATTAAGTCCTGAAAAAGGAAACATACTTTCACGACTACAGTGAGCGTGTACGCTCTGCTTACTTTATGGTGTTCATTAGATCCTGTTGTGGTCTACAAGTTTTGTAGAGGTGGGACCTTAAGCAGTCCTGAGAAGGGGTAACATTCATACAACTATAGCGAGTGCCTATGTATCACCTGACCTTACAACGTTCATTAGATCCCATTGTGGTCTGCTTTGCCAGTAAGTTGTCTGCTTTCCAGTAAGAATAAAATAGTAATAAATTATGTATTATAAATCCTGTAAAACTATCGAAAAAAGAACGTGGATATTGATAAATTCTGGAATGAAGTTGAAGGTAAATCTCTGGATATAGAACATGCCAAAGAAAAAAAACAATTACAGCTGGACCAGGTCAATAATTTTTACTTACTTTAATATTGTTAAATGATATGGCTAATGATTGTTCTAGATTGCAGTTGAAAATAGCTTATACTATGACAAAGGGAACTAAGTATGACGTTAGAAATATTATGAAAAATATCAATACAGAACTGGTATGGTGATTTACATATAACATTGTTAAAAATAATCTACTAATTCAACAAACTTTATGGCTTATTCATAGGTTGAGTCAGCTACTTATCTTAAAAAGAGATGAGATGTTGATTACAAAGAAGATCGAGATGGATACACTACATCTTATCCAAACAGTCCAATAGTGAATAATCTGGAAAATGGACTAAAACCAAAGAGATGGGCTAAGACTGATGATAAGTCTTACACTTCATCTGCCAGAACTAGTGATGATATGGTTGGTGACATAAATGATATCATTCTATTTATGTATTTTTTTCTTTTTCATTTTTGGCTTAGCCGATTGGTATTAATTTTACAAAAGTATAAGAGTGTGGATGATGAGCTTGAAAAATCTGAAAAAAGTGATGAGAAAGATGAATTGAGGTTAGACATGAAAGAAATTGGATTCAAAGAATACATTGATCAAGGGGATAAACATGTAAGTATTTTTTTATCAAAATAAATTGCAAGTATGATTTTGCTAAATCAATAACTATTTTATAGTTCGTTTTTAAAATAAAGAATATTTCTTTGTTATTTGAATCATATCAGTCAAAACGTTAGCTTGTGCGCAAAATTCAGGCTTGCTAATAATGAAAAATTATCACAAAATATTGTAAATAGGACTTTTAAGTAGATATCTTTTTAGTCTTTTTATTGATAAAGGGTGTTTACTTTTTTAAAAAATTTAGGAATCTATCGCATATTCTATTATTGCAGATGGATAACTATTCAGAAACACAAGTAAAAACATTCTCTAGAGAAATGCTCAAAGATCTTAGAGAGGATATTAAATCAAAGTTAATCAGAAAAGAAAAAGAAACAAGGGGTGTAAAATCAATCTTACAAGAGTATATTGAGGTTCGTATTTTTCTATTATTATCATTTTTTTGCAATGTTCCTTTTGCTAACTATCTTGCTTAGGTTGCTAATGATGGTAGATTACATGAACTTTACGAAACTATTACTGAGTCTTTTTTAAAAACATTTAATTCAACAATAGAGGAAAAATTTTTTTGACAATGAGGTTTCTCTTTGAACATCTGTAAGTTTTGATATCTCTTAGTCAAATAATTTTTTGAAATGACTGTTAATAAGATTTTTTTCTTACTACTTTCAGGTCTTATACTATTCCATTATATTTATTGAAAGAAATTATGAGCAAAAAGACACTTGTGGCAAATATAATAAGTCTAGTGTTACGAATTTTTTTTCATAATTTATACATATATCCTACAATTTGGCTGAACACATCCAGCACTAGCGCAAAGATTCAAAAACTTGCTATCAATGATCCTTTCTGGGCTAAACAACCCGATATGATCAGAAAAATTGTCAATAATGGTATTTATAGAAAATACAGCATAAAATATACAAATAAATCTGTTCTAATTACTTCTCTAACATAAACAGGAAAAATTATTTTTGAAACGATGTTTAGGGAAGTGACAGGTAAGAGTAAGAATAATACAGAAAAAAAGAACCTAATCGATCTAATTAGGTTGGGATTATTTATGAAAGATGCATTAGATAATATTTTGCCTAAGACCAGTGTTAATCAGATTTTTGCTTGGCAAGTTATTGGTAAGCTAGATACTTATTTTACTAATCTTATCTTACCTAATTAATGATTCTTTATATAATAAATAGTGATAAAATGGACTGGTTATATGATGACTTTAATTAGTCCTGGAATTTATGTCATAGATACTGATGATAATGTGAATTTTCTAAGATCTTTCAAAACATGCGATTTGTTTTTAAGTGGGCTGAACATACTGTTTATATTTCAGGTATAACTTCTAATTACTAAAGAATAGTAATACTAATGACTAATTCAAAACTGTTCCTCTAGCTAGCATAATAAAAGATATCCTTTCAATTATCAATAAGAGTGAAGAATTCAAAAATGATAATTTTAAAGGATGGCGTCAACCAACACTTAAGATACTAGCGTTCAAAAGAATTGTTAAATTCAAATAACTTATTAATTATTAATAGATGAAGCATACAAGTCATAGTTCGAAAAATCTTAATTCTTTAGGCTAATTTTGTCTACCGATAAATTGTGTATTACTTTATGTTTATCAATAAAAATAAAATAAAGTTTGCCTCAGACCTTTCTCCTTTTTTTATTCATATGTATTTGTATGAGTGCTTATCAAATAAATAAAATGATACATGCAATCATGAGAGATTTGCAAACTAATCTACATGCGTATGAATATAAAATTACCTCTTTTTTTCTTTACTATTCGTTCAGAAAATCAGAAAATGTCATTTTTCCAAATTCTGTTAGGCAAAGAAAAAAATTCCAAAATCTGATCAGTTGATTATCTTGTGATTTATAGAAACATGCCTTCAACCATCAAATCAAATGAAAATTAAGTTGAATTTTAGTTAATTTTTCTGATTTTTTTACTTTTTATAATAGAAACATGCCTCCAACTATCAAAATTGGACAAAAATTAAGTTGAATTTTAGTCAATTTTTCTGATTTTTTTGCTTTTATAATAGAAACATATCAAAATCAGACGAAACTTAAATTGAATTTTAGTTAATTTTTCAGATTTTTTTATTTTTTATAATAGAAATATGCCTTCAACCATCAAAATCAGACGAAAATTAAGTTGAATTTTAGTCAATTTTTCTGATTTTTTTACCTTTTATAATAGAAACATGCCTTCA